GTATTGAAGAAGAAGTCCAAGCTGCACTGAAGGAATTAGTGAAAAACAAGACCCCAGGAATAGATGGAATACCCGTTGAGATGTTTCAACAAATGGGTGCAGTGCTGGAAATGCTCACTCTTTTATTCCAAGAAATTTGGAAGACAGCTACCTGGCCAAGCAACTGGAAGAGATCCATATTTATACCCATTCCAAAGAAAAGTGATCCAATAGAATGTGGAAATTACCAAACAATATCATTAATGTTACAGATAAGTAAAAATTTTCTGAAGATAATTCAAAAGCAGTTGTAGCAGTACATTGACAGAGAACTGCCAGAAATTCAAACTGGATTCAGAAGTGGTTGTGGAACAAGGGATATCATTGCTGATGCCAGATAGATCTTGGCTAAAAGCAAAAAACACAGGAAAGATGTTTACCTGTGTTTATTGAGTATGCAGAGGTATTTGACTGTGTGGATCATAGCAAATTGTGGATAACATTGTGAAGAATGGGAGTTCCAGAACACTTAATTGTGCTGATGAGGAACCTGTTAATAAAACAAGAGGCTGCCATTCAAACAAAACAAGGGCATACTGAATGGTTTAAAACCAGGAAAGGTGTGAGTTAGGGTTGTATCCTTTCACAATACTTACTTAGCGGTAAGTACTTTACTCAATAGTAGATGAGTAAAGAAATCAGTGAGTAACAAGATGTCATGTCGGACTTCATAGATAAGGCAGATATGATTGTCCATTAGCAATGTCCTTAGAGGTTTTACTCTGAAAGCTGGACTATAAAGGAGAATATAGCATCAGGATTGGTTGTTGTTGTTATGTGCCGTCGAGTCAGAACTGACTCATAGCCACCCCTCCTTGGGTTGCCAAGGCAGTATCACTACGGAAGTAGATTGCCTCATCTTCCTTCCAAGGAGTGGCTGGTGGATTTGAACGACCAGCCTTCTGGTTAGCAGTCAAGTGCCTTAGGCACTATGCTACCAGAGCTCGGAGGAAGACTTACTAACAACCTGTGATATTCAGATAATACAACCTTGCTTGTTGAAAGTGAAGAAGATTTAAAGCACTTATGAAGATCAAAGACTCCAGTCTTCACTATGGATTACATCTCAACACAAAGAAAACAAAAATCCTCATAACTGGACTCATAACATCATGAGAAATAGAGGAAAAACTGACGTTGTCAGGGACTTCATTTTACTTGACTTTACTGTCAACATCCATGAAAGCAGCAGTCAAGAAATCAGAGGACATACAGCACTGTGCAAATCTGCTGCAAACCTTTTTAAAGTGTTAAAGAGCAAAGATGTCACTTTGAGAACTCAAGGTGCACCTGACCCAAGCTTATGGTATTTTCAGTCTGCTCATATGCATGTGAAAACTGGACAGTGAATAAGGAAGATCAAAGAAGAGTTGATGCATTTGAATTGCAGTATTGGCAAAGAATTCTGAAATTACCATGGACTGCTGGAAGGAGAAACTAATGTGTCTTTGAAGAAGTGCAACCTGAATGTCCTTAGAAGTGAGAATGACCAGACTTACTCTCACATGCTTGGTCATGTTGTTAGAAGGGAGTGGTCTGTGGCGAAGGAAAGCATGCTTGATAGAGGGCTAGTAAAAAGGGAGAAGGCCCTCAACAAGAGGGCTATGAAGAGGTCCCCAAGTGTAGCAAAAATTGTGAGGGTGGTGCAGGATGGATTATTGTTTCATTTTGTACATAGGGCCTCTATGACTTGATGGAACCTGACAACCACAGCACCAACAGCAGTCTTTAGCCATGCAGACTGTAACATTTTTCTCCAGTTGAGCAGCTGGTGGGTTCAAACTGCAGACCTTTATGTTGCTGCTGCCTAGTGCTTAACAACTGTGCCATCAGAGAGTCTTTTTAAATATTAAAAGGTACAGTTCATGGATGCTTTAATAGTATTCCACATAGCCTAGTACATCATTGTACATACTCCTGGGTCATTCTGGAGACTGCTAGCTAGGTCTTCATTTAAAAACATACACCCATTTTTGTATGGCCACATGTAAAAGATAGCTATTCTTGACCTGTGGACAGACCTAGCAGAGATGTATAATTCTGAAGAGTAATAGTGGTCTTGGTATCTGAAGTGTTGAGTTATTTTCTCTTGCAACTGCCTACCTTGCAGTTGCCACCTGCTATTGGACTTGCAGGGCATGGTGCCTATATGGAGCTCCCACTACCTTCTCCCAGATCCCATGGACACTGAGAATATGGAAAATTGTTATTCAGTTGTTCCTGTTTGCTAGATCTGGCTGTCCTCCCTGTTCTTCCTAGTGATGGAGGAGGGGGGAGAGAGAGCAGAGGATAGATAACTTGGCTCAAATTCCACAGATCTGAATTTTCTCTAAAATGGTAGATGAGTAAAAAAAATCAGTGAGGAACAAGATATACTGGACTTCATAGATAAGGAAGATATGATTGTCCATTAGGACTGTCCTCAAAGGTTTTACTATAAAAGCCTGCTTCCTGAGGGATTGAGGCTTGTTTGTTTTCTACCCTCCTGTAGAGGGTGGGAATGAGGCATGTAAGTCATGTAAGGCATGTAAGTCACTTCTAGGTCAGGTTTTGTTTCCACCATGTCTTCAGACTTGTTCAGGTGGTTCTGTCTCTGGACTTCTGGCTGCCATCCTGTGCTAGAGATGGCAAATTGTGCCAGTCTCTACCTGGGCCCAAATCGTGAATGCAGATGGTCCAACTGTATTGGGAGTGAATTGATGAGGTGCCTCTGCATTGTCAGCCTTCACACTTTGGAAGGAGACCTCAAAATGTTCTATTCTAAAGGTAGCACATGCCAAGTACATTATGTATTGATCATTCCAGCAATTTTAGGGAAATTTCCTACATCAAGTTAGACTTCATGAATGGCAATACCAGAAATTAAGATGCATACAATTTTTTTTTTTTTTTGCTTGTGATTTTCATTCTCAAGTGTCAGGGCATGGTATCTTTGACTCTATTCATAACCTTTGCAGAAAACAAAGCCTTCCTATGTGTATTCTCTTTCCACACATGTGCTGTATCCTGCAAGTGCACACAGCTCACCTAATCCTTCTTCTTGATGGTGGTTTTCATTCTAGATGAAGAGAGTGAGGATAATTTTTTAGGTAACTTTTGATAACTTAATTGCCTTCATTCAGCCAGTGATACTCATTATGTATCTGCTGTGACCCAGGCCCATCTTCAGGTTTTATGAAACATATTTCTGCTCTTAAGGGTGTGGTAGGTCCAGACAGCAGACACTGATAGATGATATCCTTTGTCATTGTGATTTGTTCTGTTTCCTTACACTTTACAAGCATAACCTTTTAGTTTTTTTTTTTTATTTACACGAAAGATAGCAGAATACCCAGTGGAGATTGGGGACAGGGATGAGTGCAGGCAACTTTCATTTTCCAGTTCTGAAAGACTGGGAAGATACATGTTTTAGACTTTTTTATAAAACTAAAGGGAATTGGTTTTTCCTGTCTGCTCTAGCATGACTTGATGCCATAGGTCAGACAGTAGGATTGAGACTATTTTTTTTTTCCTCCAGATGTACCTTTCACAGGCATTAAAACAAAGAAACAGTTGTGCCTTACTGATCTGGGGTCTTATTTGGAGTGTATTGGGCACTGTGTTAGTTAAAGGTGATTATGTGGAGTGTGTATTAAGTAACCCTATCTCCTCTAAATAGATGTAATTAGTGGAAAAACACTGTGGGAAAATGGGACATCAGGATGGTCTCTTTGATAAAGCAAGAAGAATCAAATGCTATAAAATTAATTTTTGAAATAGGAAAAAGGCAAATACCTACCTTTTCTCAACAACTTTATTTAAACATTTTAAGAGAAGCTCAAGTTGAACTTGTTTTCTCCTGGCTTCTTACCCCTTGTTGTTGTTGTTATGTGCCATCGAGTCGGACATGACTCATAGTGACCCCTCCTTGGGTTTCCGAGGCAGTATCACTATGGAAGTAGATTGCCCTGTCTTCCTTCTGAGGAGTGGCTGGTGGGTTTGAACCGCCAGCCTTCTGGTTAGCAGTCAAGTGTCTTAAGCACTATGCTCTCAGCTCCCGTACATCCCATGGCATGGTTTGGAGCAGCATTGGGCTTGGATCTGAATTCCTGGCTTTGTTGCTCACTAGAGTATAGTGTGTTTTCTTTCTTTCTCTGTAACTTTACTGAGCACATTTGAGAAATGGGAGGCTTGGGAGAGGCCATCTCTAAGGTTCTTTATACCTGTAATTACATCTCTTTGATCGTAAGAAGTGAAAATTTTTTAGAGTTGTGAGGTTAAAGGGAAATTTATAGAATTATGTAGACTGCAGAGTTTGAATCTCAGCTCTGCCATTTCCTAGCCATGTGGTTAATCTTGGATAAGCCACTTAATATTTGGTAGCATAGTGCCTAAAGCACTTGACTGCTAACCAGAAGGCTGATGGTTCCAACCCACCAGCCACTCCTCAGAAGGAAGATGGGGCAATCTACTTCTGTAGTGATACTGTCTCGGAAACCCAAGGAGGGGTCGCTATGAGTTGGTTCCAACTCGACGGCACATAACAACAACAACAACATATAATCTTCAGAAACCAATAGATCTGTGACAATTATAAAATGCATATAAAATGCATCTATGTACGTGTAAAACACTTAGAACTTAACTTGCAAATGGAGAGAACTCAAATGTTAACTCTTCAAGAGGCGTGAGGGGAAGCCTGTACATTTCCTCTCTATAAATGCTTTCCTCAGAGGACCCTGCAGTGTTTCCCCTGCAGAGGAAACTGACCCTTGTAGAGATAAACCATATCCCTTGTAAGTGCTGGCATCATCTCATGGCAGTGGGTACCCATTCTTCAGGAATTTGAAAAGACCTACTGTGTTTTGAGACTTCAGAGTGTACAAATATCCCCTCGGAAGATGGCAGTAATGAGCCCAGCTTTCTTGAACATCAAGGGGAAAAACTTAAAAACTGAAGTTTGCTAAATGTGTGTTTTGCAGGTTGGACAATCTGCTCAATATGGCTTATGGAGTAAAGAGGTAATGATAGAGGTTCATGATACTCATAATCCCTTCCCACAATTGATTAGTTTCTTTGATTTTTGGGAGTGATATGTAACACCCCTCATAAGTTTGTGTTGGGTTTTCTTTTGCATGTGTAACCTAATGAAAAGCTTCTTTTTGAAGCACAGTTGACTCAAGGAACATTTTAATACCACTGGATGCCACCTGGTCTTTAAAAACTCATTATTTGTTTCATATTGCATTGCGACGTTGTAGCATGTTTTACATATGTGTTGGTTTTTTTCTCCCCAATCCTGCTTATTTCATGAAGCCAGTTCTAACTATATTTCTTTGCTATTGTGGATAATAGTATTCAGTACAGTAATTTTTGGCCATTTCATAATGTATTAATATCTTGAGTAGTATAGCATGTCACTGCAAGCCACACACAGGCCTTAGTTAAACATCAAATAATTGTATTATATTTCTTGGGGGAAGAGGATTGCTGAAACTCATGGGATAGAGAGGGGGAAAGAAAGAAGTCCATTGCTATAATCAGCCTCTGTGTTTATTTTGTGTGTGTGTTTGTTTCCTGTTTTGTTTAGTAGGTTTTCTCCAATGACCATTGATGGAATGACCAGTTTGGCTGGAATTAATATCCCTGGGCACCCAGGAACAGGGTGGTGTATTTTTGTGTACAACCTGGCTCCTGACGCAGATGAGAGTATCCTGTGGCAAATGTTTGGGCCTTTTGGAGCTGTCACCAACGTAAAGGTCATCCGTGACTTTAACACCAATAAATGCAAAGGTTTTGGATTTGTGACTATGACAAACTATGATGAGGCCGCCATGGCGATAGCTAGCCTCAATGGATACCGTCTGGGAGACAGAGTACTGCAGGTCTCCTTTAAGACAAATAAAACGCACAAAGCCTAATGAGCTCTTGTCCTCAGTCCATTTATATATGAAAACTATACAACAAAGGCAAGTTAAGAGAAACTTTATACATTAGTAAATGTCTTTGTAAGTCAGTGTTGAGATGGGGATAAAATGACTACTTAGCATCCTAAGAAATATGTGAGATTTTTTATTGCTAGTATTTGAATTAAAACTTCTTAAATATCTTTTATGTTTGAATATGGACAAGAGGTACAGGGTTTTTACCTGTCACATTGCATTCTATTGCCTTCTTTGAAGAAGGTGGACCTTTTAAAGTGTTTCAGCTAAGGGAAGACATTTCTTTCTTTTCTTTTCTTTTTTCTTTTTTTTCTTTGACATACCTCCTTTGAACCTGTGAGTAAATATTGAGGCTTTGTGTTGTAATTCTTCAGTTGGTTGTCTTCTTTCCCCCCTTTTTCTTTCTTTTTCTGATTAGCTTTGTGTTTGGTTTACATTTAAAGCATTGCGATTATGTCTGTTTAAAAAAGTATTTTGAAGTTTACATTTTTATTTATAATGTTAAAAACAGTATTTATTTTATAATTATGATTTGGGTTGGGGAAGGGGGGGGCTACATTATAAACGCTTATTGTAAGAATACTGGAGAACTTTTCGTAAAGCAGTACCTTGCCAAAGAGATAAGAGCCTCTTTGATGTGGGTTTAAAAAAAGCATCTATTTTTATAAAAAAGAAAATTTGGAGAAACTTTTTACTGGTCCTGGAACAAATATTTTGACTTGAATACTTTGAGAAATCTCTTCATATGACACCTAGTGAGCTTTTAAAATTTACCAGGAAATTTGCAGCGGTTGGAAAATTTAGAAAGATTTATGATGTAGAAAATACTTTTGAGATCTTTGTATGAAAGGAGTAGAATCAGTGGGAGAAACACTGCTGGTTTTGTTTTTGTAATCACCAGTGGAGCGTCTGATCATCCTGGTTAGTATGTGATAGGTGGCTCACATTGATTTGTGATTTTGAAACAAAAAAAATTTACAAAAGAATATATAAGAGCAAGCAAGAAATTTAAATTACTGAGAGATGGGGGAAAAATCTGTTCTTCCTAAAGAAATCCCTTCAGATAGAGCTCACGGTGTTTAGTGATGTACTTGCAGTATTGTTTGAAGAATTGTTTTGTCTTAAGGAAAAAAAAAGACGTTGCACATGATTTGTACTGCAGCAAATCGGCAAAAGTGATCTGAGTTGGATATATTTGAAGGTATTTTGAAAGTTATGTTCAAGGCTAACACCTGAGCTTTGTGTAATGTAAATAAGACCTTGTGTTTATGAACCTTTCAGCTAATTTGATTTTTTTTTCCCTTACATGCCAAGTGATGTTCAGGTTTTGAATGTTTTTGTATCAGTTTTTTCCTTTGTAAATGGCATTAACATTGTTACTTGAGGTCTTGCTTAATCACTTTTGTTGTCCTGAGGACTTGAATTTACAGTGCATCAGATTTGTTGCTAATTTTGTCTGTAGATAGTCTAGCTTCAGCTGTTTATGGTGATGCTACATTTTTGTTTATAAATATGTTTGTGGTAAAAAAAAAAATGAGTATAACCATAGGTTTTGAACAAATTTCCTTACATTTTTCATACAAAAATCATAAATATCTGTATGCTACTGAAATTTAACTTTGTATGATGCTTAAACCACTATTTGGGGAAATAATAAAATAAGTCTTTACCATGTATGAAAGAAATTTTAAAAAATACAAAATATTTTCTGATTAGCATCTAGCTTATAATAAATTTTCAAAAAAGCTGAAGGCAAAACAGCCTTCACCAGGATGCACTGAGAACTATATAGTTAATGTCCTGCTTTTTGTATAAACTGAGATGCTCACATGCTTCCCCTTAGAACAGGCAATGTGCTATGCATAACATAGTTGTACATTATCTTTGCAGTTGCTTTGAGTTTTGTTTTTTATTATTTAAAATTGTAGTTATAAAATTTTCAGTATAGTACAGTACATATACTGTGAGGCGCGTGCTAAAGTGAATAAGCGAGTTTTCATGCTGACCCACTCAATGCTACTCAGAAATCAATTGGCTTAGCACTTTCTCATATCCTTAGGTGCATTTAGATTGTCAGAGTTAACCTTCTGCGTTTGAAAAAAAAAAAAAAGAAAAAAAAAAAAACTAAATACTACTTTGGAAAGGATCAATCAGAAAAAAAAAAGTATATAAAAAAAAAAAAAAAAAAAAAAAACTAAGGTTTCCCTCACGGGAAAACAGCAGCTACATGCTTCTTTCCTAACTACTGTAGCAAACCAAGGCATTGATGAGAGGGCATGCAAATTGTGCTTCACTTTACAGTGTTTATCAGAGCACTTAATAAAATGTAAGGCTGGTATTTATTTGAAGTTGTACAGTATGACTTAATTCACATCTGTTGGAATAGAAAATATATTCTGTTGAGTATTTAAGAGGCTGTACATGTTTTCTTTTGTGTTTGGATTCTTTGTACTTTTTCATGTTCAGTACATCAATAAACAAAGTTGAAGGGAAAGAACAGTGTGGTGAGTAGGTCTTTATACACATTTTGGGGTCTTCTGTGCTCAGTCTAATAAACAAACTTGATCCTTTGAGTTGAAAGAAGTTTCTCGGGCTTAGTTGAAAAGCAGTGTTATTTAAAGAGTTCCAAGGGCTGTTAATTGAAGTAAGTAGAATGTGCCCTACCCAGAAAAAATTATTTTTGACTGAATGACACCTTCTGATTAGTAAGCTTTCAAATACTGCTCAGTGAGTAATTGTTACAGTAACACATGCTTTCTCATCTGCTAGTGGTAAAGTTTGGGAAATCAAATGCTATCATGGGTCCATAGCTCTCATGTAACCTTCAAAGATTTGCACAAATGGGAGTTGACCTTACACATTTACTTGAGCTAAAGAAAAAAAAAACAAATAGAAGGAAAGTAACTTATTTAGCTTCCACTGGTAAGACTTCGTTTATGCATGGGATTCATTGTTGGTGTGTGAAGTTTATTTTCCTGGCACAAGTCAAGGGACTCCTCTCACAATCACAAAGTCAGTTTTCTTCAGGTTAGGTTTAGTGTGTTTTGGCACAGGAGGAGCTCTGGTAGCATAGTGGATAAGGCATTTGACTGCTAACTTGAAGGTCAGCTGTTCAAACTCACCAGCTGCTCTGCAGAAGGAAGATGGGGCAATCTACTTCCATAAAGATTTATAGTCTCAGAAACCCAGTGGGGGTCAGAAATGACTTGATGGCGGTGAGTTCGGTTTGTTGGACAGATCATGAGCCATGCCAACCCCATGTTTCACCTGCATGTTCAGTCCTCCTAACAGATCTTTAATAGACCTGTGGGGTAAGAAAAAAATTTCCTGCTGGTCTTTTTTTTAATGTGAGGATTCAACTTATACAGAATTTTGATATAATAATGATAAATTTTATATTTTCTACGAAGTATACCAGATGGCTTCTTTTAATTTGATTGTATCTGTTGGCTTTTTTGGGGGGTGGGGGGCAGGGGTGTGGTGGTGGTGTAAAAGCCGTTCAAAACGAGATTGCCCTGAATTGATAGCTTAGTCGTCAAGAATATAGCTGAGTGACAAGACAATTCCTTGTTTTCCAACATTCCTTTGCTATCAAATCTTTATACCTCCTTTTGATTATATGAATTTAATACTCTAATTTTGTGATGTTGGAACACCTTCCTCTCATCTCACCCCTCTTGCATGCTTTTATCACTATTTTGACTGGCTTGCATGTCAGCAGCTCTTTTATATTTGAGCAGGTAGTGGAAAAATTCTCAGTAAAGGAGATTTGACAAAAGGCAGGTGTATTCAAGGAGGAGTCGAATTGTTTTCCTCATTCATCAATTGAAAAATATTTCACACCCAATGCTTGCGAATTATTGGAAGAGTATCACAATTCAGCATTAGGGTGTCCAGCATAAATTCTTAATCTGAATTGAGGAAAAGTGTTAGCAATTTAACCTTCCATTTTATTAAATAAACATACCATAAGATTCCTGCCCTTACTTTATAAGTGGATCAAAAATAAATTATGGTGGAAACATGCAATTTATGACTGAAAGGATTACCTAGAAATAAGAAATTGCATATATTTTAATAATAAATATATTTACATGTTAATATGCTGGGTCTCTATAATGTATTTTCAGAACAATATGCATATCCTTGTCATTGGTTGAAAAGAAAGAAAAAAAAAGCAGTGGTTTTGCTTTTATGCTTCTATTACTGTATTAAAATCTTGTACAGTGGGAGAGAGTAGAATTACATTAAAATTACAGCAGAATTTATTATTGGTTGAAGAGCATTTATAGTTTCATTCTTGTAAGGAACAGCCTGCATTTCTCTACTTATTTCTTTGTGTTCTTAAGAATTCCTAAAAGTAGGCTCAATTCTCTTCAGGTTGGAAGGACTAAACATTTAGACCATTAAATAAGCATCCTTTTGATGTAGGATGGGGCTTACTGAAATCAACTTTTCCAGAATTCTGGTCCAAAGAAATGCAGAGAAGGATGTTTTGGTTGTTCAGCACAGGTTTATTGGGCACCTGCTAGGCTGTGACTGGAGCCCTAGTGGCATAGTGGTTAGAGCACTTGGCTACCAACCAAAAGATCAGAGGTTCAAAACCACCACTGGGTCCATGGGGGGAAGATGTGACTGTCTACTTCCATAAAGATTTGCAGTCTTGGAAACCCTATGGGGCAGCTGTACTCTGTCCTGTAGGGTCACTATGAGTTGGATTGACTCAAACGCAGTGGGTTTGATTTGGTTTACTATTCTGTGCCTTGAGTTTACAAAAATTAGCAAGAAGTCCCTCCCATCTTCCTAGAAACCATCACCTAAAAGGGAAGGCAGACATGTCAAGACCATCACTATATACTGTCACACTTACTACCAGAGCCCAGAAAAAGGTATCAAGCTTAGTTTCATTTTGATAAACTTAGTTATGCCTCACAAAAGTTAGTTACTCTTCTTAAAGATTCTTCTTTCACTTTTGTGAA